GTGCTTGGAGGGCGGAGTCCAGTGGTCCTTACCGGCCACGCGGACGCGTCTTGGGCTGACGACCAGGCTACGCAGCGGTCGTCACAGGGTTACACCTTCAGCCTTGGTTCCGGCTCTGTCTCGTGGCGGTCTACTCGCTCGTCTTCGGTTCTCGGCTCCAGTTGTGAGGCTGAGATCTACGCCGGGGCCATGGCTGCACAGGAGCTTCGCTGGCTCACCTACCTGCTGACTGACCTTGGAGAGCCGCCTCGTTCTCCTCCAGTGCTGTACGTAGACAACAAGGCTATGCTGGCCTTGTGTCGAGAGCAGCGCTTGGAGCACAGAACGAAGCACATTGCTCTCCGCTACTTCCTTGCTCGTGAGCTGCAGCAGCGTGGTCAGTTGCGACTTGCGTACGTGGCCTCTGAGGCCAACACTGCTGATGTGTTCACCAAGGCACTTGCGCCTTGTGACCATCAGCGCTTCTGCACCCAGCTGGGTCTTGTGCCTGTCTTGCCTCACTTGCTCTCCTCTTGACTTCACTTGTACTGTGACATATATATATATACCTGCTCTTGCTTGTCTAGCTTTATATATATGTCTGTACTCTTGCTTGTGAACTGGCCTTTGGCCTCACTCTTGTGCTCGGACTGTGTGGTGACTTTGTGATCCACCCTGAGCTTTGCTTTGTCTTGCTTGACTGGTCTTGTGACCCCTTGTTCTCCCCCACTTTGCCTATGGGGGTGTGTCAGAACATATCTATAGCTTATACTGCTGTGTAGGCTGTAGTGGGGTATCCCATAGGGGGTACAACCCAGTTAGGGTTTCATATTTGTACTGCTTTCATTCATAGTTCATCCATTCCTGTTTTCCTACTATCACAACCCTGGGGTGTAGGTTGATCTGATGCGCCGCATACCTCACCGCAAACGGCCACAGAAAATGGGGAGCAGCCACATGCATCATAGACGTACGAGCGACGTCCATGGCCATGCCAATGCGGCGCTCAGCAATCCCATTTTGCTGCGGGGAGTCCGGAAGTGTGAAGGTCTGACGGATTCCTCGTGCGCGACAGTAGGCTCTCAGAAGGCCAGAAGAAAACTCTCCGCCTCTGTCCAAGTGTAGACGCAGAACAGGAAAGTCCGAGCCAAAGCTCTGCCTCAGCTGGAGACGAGCTGCGCGGATCCAGTCGATCAGCACCTCAGTAACAACACCCTTGCTGCGCAAGGGGAAGACTGCGGTGTAACGTGAGTAGTCGTCAACAACGAGCAGGAAGTAGCGCTCGTGACCCTGTCCACGGACGCGGGCTGGGCCCCACACGTCCATGTGAAGCGTCTGCAACGGGGCCTCTGTCGGAGGAAACTAGGAGGAGAGAGGGGCAGCCCGCTGGCGCCCTTCGACACAGGGGACACAGGTAGGGCCAGGGCCTTGAGGAAGAGGAGGTAGGGACCAAGGGAGACCAGAAACAAGAAGACGGGAGGCCATGCCTCTGAGCCGAAGCAGAGAGGGGTGACCAAGGCGGTGGTGCCAGAGGAGAGTCTCGTGAGACAGGAGACGACACGAACAGGGGGCAGACTCAGGACCAGACCTGGACGCTGCAGCAAACGCCTGACCCGACGCAGCGACCCTACCAGACTCAACAACTGGAGGAGACAGCATACATGGCAGAAAGAATAGCATCAAAATCAAGATCATAGATGGCAACACCCGCCCTAGACAGCTCGCCCCAGTGAGGGATCTCTGTGGCCTCCGGGAACTGGTGACGCCACGCGTCCGTCAGGCGGCCAAAGCAGCGCTGAGTGGGGCGCGCACCCCCATACTGCTCACCCGCACGGTCGCCGGTGCGTAGGACGTAGGTGCACGGACCAAAACCCCCACCCCGCTGGCGTGCAGTGTACCACTCACGGAGCTGCTGAGGGGACAGGGTCTCACGACCGCGCTGCTGCTGCTGGCGCGGACCACCACCGGAGCCTCTCCTCTGCGTAGACCCACGACCAGCTCCACCGCCACCCCCGCCGCCTCCGCCGCCTCCGCCGCCGCCGCTACTACCGCCGCCTCTGCCGCCTCCTCCACCGCCGCCACCTCCGCCACCTCCGCTCCCACCGCCACCGCCGCCGCCTCCTCCGTCTCCACTGCCGCCACCGACACCTCCACCCCCACCACCACTCCCACCGCCACCCCCACTCCCCCCGCCGCCTCCACCTCCACCTCCACCGCCCCCGCTCGCCCCTCCAGTGCCCCTGCCCCCCTTGCCCTTGCTAGAGCGGCGTCTCCCGCTAGGGGCAGACGCCGCACCGACCGACTCAAGACCAAGGAGGTCGGCCGCAGCAGCAGAGGCAACAGAGGGCAGAAGGGGGGAGGGGGAACACCCCTCAAAGATGGGGGTGCGCGGGTCACCACGAGAGGCCCCTACAGCGACTATGCTCTTCTCAGCCGCTAGGAGGGACTTCTCGAGGAGGTCAACAGTGAGAGTGGTGGGACAGACTGAGAGGAAGTGGTCCCTGACTACGCGAAGGGAGTCAGGGAGGCGAGTGACTAAGTAGTAGAGAGTGATGTACATGGGGGGGGGGTTCTTGGCGCAGAAGTCAGCAGGAAGCGCAGCGCGGTAGCGAGTGTCACTAGTGCGGAGGTGCGTAATGAGGTCAGCGACTGTGGGAAGGCAGCAAGGTCAGGGAAGAGGTACGGCAGCATGAGGCGGCTCAGTGCAGCAGTGGCAGGGGAAGAGTAGCGCGCAACTACAGCGTCGTACAAGGTCTGAGCACTCTTGTACTGACTAAAGTGCGCGCGCTCAGTGGTAGGAAGGTGGCGACGCACAGCAAGACGTGCAGCAGCATCGCGAGTGGCCCACTGTGAGCGAACGGTGGCGTCGGCATCGGCAGTAGGGGCAGGAGAAGCACCAGAGGTGAGGTCAAAGAGGGAGAGACCGTCTGCCCTATCGCACTGTAGGAAAAGCTGCAGGTCATCTACCCAGACGTCAAAGTCAATGGCCCGACCCTCAGCGTCAAAAGTGAGAACACTGGGGGTAGCCATGACAGCAGTAGACTAGCAACGCTAACTGTAGAGCAGGGGCAGTACGGTTACAGAGGCGCTGCGCTCACCAGACAGGGCGGTTCGGGCAGCTCGGGCGGCTCGGCAGCAACTGCAGCTCGGCGGCACCCGCGGCTCGGCTCCTCAGCTGCTCAGGCGGCTCGGGCGGCTCGAGCGGCTCGGGCGGCTCGCGCGGCTCGGGCGGCTCGGGCGGCGTAGCGGCGCGGGCGGCTCGGCTGCGTAGGCGTTCGGGCGGGGCCATAGGTAGGACGGCGGGGCCGGGTCGAAGGTAGGGCGACGGGGCCGGTGCGAAGGTAAGGCGACCGGGCCGGGGCTGGGCCGTAGGTAGGGCGACGGGGCCGGGTCGAAGGTAGGGCGACGGGGCCGGTGCGCAGGTAGGGTGACGGGGCCGGGGCCGGGCCGCAAGTAGGGCGACGGGGCCGGGTCCGGGCCGTAGGTAGGGCGACGGGGCCGGGGCCGGGTCGTAGGTAGGGGGACGGGGCCAGGGCCGGGCCGTAGGTAGGGTGACGGGGCCGGGTCGTAGGTAGGGCGACGGGGCCGGGGCCGGGCCGTAGGTAGGGCGACGGGGCCGGGGCCGGGTCGTAGGTAGGGCGACGGGGCCGGGGCCGGGCCGTAGGTAGGGCGACGAGGCCGGGCCGTAGGTAGGGCGACGGGGCCGGGTCGAAGGTAGGGCGACGGGGCCGGGGTCGGGCTGCAAGTAGGGCGACGAGGCCGGGGTCGCAAGGGGGGGCGACGGGGCCGGGGTCGCAGGTAGGGCGACGGGGCCGGGGCGCAGGTAGGGCGACGGGGCCGGGGCGCAGGTAGGGCGACGGGGCCGGGGCCGTAGGTAGGGCGACGGGGTCGCTAGGGTGACGAATCAGGGGCCGCTAAGGCGGCTCGACGAAGTCAGAGAGGGGAGCGCGACTCGGGCGGAGCGCGCTCCGGGCAGGAAAAAAAAAAGTTTCGACTTGGTGGACCCTAAGCACAGTTCCCACGAGGGAACCTGCTCGATACCATGAGAATATTGAAACGAGAATGAATGAACTATGAATGAACTGAGTACAAGTACTAACCCTAATTGGGTTGTACCCCTTATGGGCTACCCCACTATAGCCTACACAATAAGCACAAGCTATATGTTCTGACACCATGTACTCTAAGGGGTACATACCCTTATTACAGCGAATTCAAACCGTGCGGCGGGGGAACCCGTTCAAAACCTGTTCCCGCTCTTTTCACTTCGAATGTTTCTGCCTGCATCGGTCTTGGTCAGACGGTTGCTGCGTCGCTTCGACTCTTCTGACTCCTCGACTTCGTACTCGGTAGAGTCGGCTCCTGCAGCATACAGGAATGCCTTCTTATATAATTTCATATCGTAACGGACCTTCATGTGCATAGAAGTTTCCTCGATATTTCGTTTCTTTACACCCACCATCGAGGTTCAGTTTCGATAATGTACAGCGCGTTACTACATTGATCCTGACTTCTCGACCCTGAACAATCAGACTATATAACTTCCCAACACTGAGCAATCAGGGTTACGTTTTCCTGGAAAATATGCCCCCATAATCCAGGGGGGGATTTTTTCCCGGAATCAGGGAGGCCTAATTTGAAACGTCAGCCCTGATCACTGCATCTGAAATGATGGCGGAATTCGCTCTAGTTGGACTTCAGCGAACTGCATTTGAACGCGCCTTACAGTTCTCGCGAACATGTTAATAGAGGGTAAATCCACAAATCGCCGTGCGAAATCCAAGCCCCTGGGATTTGCCGGTCAATTGGCAGATTCCCTTCAGTCAGTCGTCTGACTGGCAGGCTATTTTGCGCATCAGTTTAGCCTGGCTACCGACAAATCGTCCCACCATTAGTATCTCCGACAGCTGATCTGTCTGTCACTCCCACCGTGAAATCGGACGGTCGAGATGCCGAAGCTGGTGCTTCACGGCACGGCGATTTCGCCGTACACGCGACGCGTGATCATGACGCTTTATGAGATGGGAGTGGAGGTACGAATATTAAGGAACGGATGTTTATGTATAGAGTTACTATTGTGTGTTCAAGTAATCGTGACGCAGTGCGAGATGATTACTAGACGGGAATGGATGTGTGTGGTTGAGCGTGGGTGACCGTCCCAGCCTAGTAGAAATGCATTCAGTACGAATTTCAGATAGCGTAGTACGCTTCGATCCGACGACAGAGGGGAGATCACGACGCGTTACGAAATGCGCGTGGAGATTATTTGATCACGGTCTCTCGTTACGAGATTCGCGTGGAGATTAGTGGATCATCGTCACGTGTTGCGACGTGATGAGTGCGTTGCGGAGTGATAAAATGATAACATGCACTGGAAGACTTCTGGGGTGCCTCCAAAGTGATAGTATGCTGCACTGGAAACAGGCATTCTCAACTGCATTGAGGCAGAAAACGCGCTTTCACATGTGTACAAAAGGAGGGTGAATGCATTGAGGCAGAAAATGCATCATGGGACGAGGGGAAGTGCGTGGAGGAGTGTTAGTATGCACTGAATACGGGCATCCTCAGCTGCAGTGAGGTAGACGATCACTTGGTGACTTTTGAGTCGACTCAAAAGTCACCGTGTTAGTATGCACTGAAAACGGGCATTCTCAACTGCAGTGAGGTTGACGGATCACTTGGAAATGCGCTTTCGCTTGCGTTCCGATCCATCCATGCATACTGGATCTTCGTTGTTCAGGTACTCGTGCGTTTCATTTAATCGTCCATGCATCTGGAAACCCTTTTTTTTTTTTCAGGATTTCGTGCACATTCCGGTCAGCCCACTCACAGGCGGCACCAAAACACCCGAATTCCTCAAGATACAGGTGACGTTCTCTCTGATCCCGTTTTTGTTCTGAGTGTGTGTTTGTATGCGTGTGCGCGCACGGGTGTGCATGTGAACAAGCCACTTGTTCAGTTGCATCCCTTTTACCTTTCCTTCTCCCTCTCATCACCCTCTCTTCTTCCTCTCCTCTCCCTCGTCTCTCCTCACACCCTCTCTCTTCTCCCTCTCCCCTTCCTTTCCTCTTTGTATTTCCTACCCCATCCGCCATGCATCCTCAGCCCTTCGCGCGAATCCCTGTGCTCGAAGACGAAGGGCACGTCATTTATGGTATGTGATGCAACTGCCAACATCAGTATTGATCAGTGATACAAGGGGCGTGCGTCCTTCCCCATCCTCACTGCATCCTCAGCCCTTCGTGCGAATCCCAGTGCTGGAAGACGACGGGCAAGTCATTTACGGTAGGTGATGCAGGATGAGTGGTCAGGCTCTCCCTTTCCTTTCCTCTCCCTCTCTTCACCTCTCCATATCCTCTTCCTCTCCTCTCCATATCCTCTTCCTCTCCTCTCCATCTCCTCTTCCTCTCCTCTCCCGCTCGTCTACCTCTCCTCTCCCTCTCCTCTTCCTCTCCTCTCCATCTCCTCTTCCTCTCCTCTCCATCTCCTCTTCCTCTCCTCTCCATCTCCTCTTCCTCTCCTCTCCCACTCGTCTACCTCTCCTCTCCCTCTCCTCTTCCTCTCCTCTCCCTCTCCTCTCCTTCTCCTCTCCCTCTCTTCTCCCTCTCCTCTCCACCTCCTCTCCCTCACCTCTCCCTCTCCTCTCCCTCTCCTCTCCCTCCTCTCTCCCTCTCCTCTCCTTCTCCTCTCCCTCTCCTCTCCCTCTCCTCTCCCTCTCCTCTCCCTCTGCTCTCCCTCTCCTCTCCCTCTCCTTCGTCCTTCCTTCCCAATCCTCTGCGTCCTAAGCCCTTTGTGCGAGTCCCTGTGTTCGGTCACTCAAGGGCAGTGATTCAGGAACAGCCAGGTGGGCTGGGCGTCATCAAAACAGCCTTGAATTGAAATCCCTTGATTAGCGTAGGAATATTACATGCATATCGTTTCTTTTTTTCGATAGATAGAACTCGCCTCATAGTCTTCTAAGGGTGAGCCGCGAGCGCAAGCAAACCAGTTTCTCTCCCCCTATGTGCCGTTCAGAGCTTCTCTCGTCACACTTATGGAAAACATAGCTGAGTCAACCGCATTATTCAGAAGCACAAGGACCAGAGCCGAACCTTTGTGCCTGCGCCGCCATTGCCGCTCTGCCCTTTCCAGACTCCCACATGTTTGTGCTATACAGAGCGGACAAATTACAAGGAGCTGCCCGTGTGCGTCCCAGACCTGCTTCCCACGTTTGCGAAGCTTAAGACTCATACTCTCCTGCTCCATTGTTCCTCCCGTGCCCCTTCCAGAGTCTCGCACGCTCATGAGATACATCGCGGACAAGCACAAGGACCGGGGGCCAGTGCTCCTCAGACCTGCTCCCCATGTTTTAGAAGCACAGCGAGCAGACTCCCTCCCTCTCCACCGTTGTCCCTGCTGCCCATTTCAGAGTCTCGCACGCTCATGAGATACATCGCTGACAAGCATAAGGACCGGGGGCCGAACCTCCTAGGAGAAATGCTCATGGTGGGTCGTGTTGTGTTGTGTGGCCTGCTGCTAGTGTTTGAGTGATTATTCTTGAGTCGATTCAAAAGTCACGCTCCTGAGATATGTAGCGGACAAGCATAAGGACCGGGGGCCAAACCTCCTAGGAGAAACGCTCATGGTAGGTCGTGTTGTGTTGTGTAGCCTGCTGCTTGCTTGTGAGGGACTGAGATCAGATTACAAAAGTCACGCTCATGAGATACATAGCTGACAAGCATGACCGGGGCCCCAACCTCCTGGGAGAAACACTCGTGGTAGGCTTGGGTGTGTGGCACGTGAAGCATGGTTGCACGCTTGCCCCGGTTATGATTCTGGTTCTTGAGAGAGCGTTCAAGCCCCTTGTGCAAGCCCTCCATGATAGAAGTAGTGTTTTGAGGCGTCTCAAAACCCTGATTCTGGTTCTTGAGAGAGCGTTCAAGCCCCTTGTACAAACCCTCCGCAACAGCCAGCCACCTCCCCTTCTTCGTTCCCACGGTGATGATTCCGGTCAACGAGAGGAGAGGTGAACAAGAACTTTCTGGATCGCCTCCAGCATGCACCCTGCGTACCCCCCCGTTGCTTCACATCTCTCATCCTTTCTGTCACACCAGGAGGACTTTTGAGGCGCCTCAAAAGTCAACGAGAGGAGAGGTGAACAGGAACTTTCTGGATCGCCTCCAGCATTCACCGTATGCACCATACCCGCCCGTTGCTTCCCTCCTGTGATGGTTCTGGTGTTCCTGCCTCCCCGGCATGCACCATACCCCCCCATTTCTTCCCATCTTGCATCCTTTCTGGCGCATCACACCAGGAGCGAGCGCTGGTGAAGCAGTGGATAGACGTTGAGGGGCACACCGCCTCCCCTCCGGTGATGGTTCTGGTGTATGAACGGGTGTTCAAGCCTCATGCATGCACGATGCCCCCCTTTTTCTTCTCATCCCATGCCACCCCTTTGCATTCTCTTGCAGGACCGAGCTTTGGTGAATCAGTGGATAGACGTTGAGGGGCACACGTTCTCACCTCCGGTTATGGTTCTGGTGTATGAGAGAGTGTTCAAGCCCCACTTGCACAAGCGCCCGTGCGATGAGGAGAGATGGAAGGAGGCAAGGGAAAAGGTGAGAGGAAGGGTGGAAAGGAGAAGGGCGTTTGGGCTTTTCTCTCCTCTAGTGGTGTATGAGCGGGTGTTCAAGCCCCACTTGCACAAGCGCTAATGTGACTAGGAGAGAGGGAAGGAGGCAAGGGAGAAGGTGAGAGGAAGGGTGGAAAGGGAGGGTGGAATTGAGGAGACAGTAGGGTGGAAGGGATGTAAGCTGGTTCTGGTGTACGAGGGAGGGTGGTCAACCGCATTTGCACAAGCGTGCTGTGATGAGGAGAGATGGAAGGAAGGAAGGGTGTCGGTGAGAGTAGGGATGGGAATTGAGAGGAGGGGAAATGAGGAGACAGTAGGGTTAAAGGATGGAGAGGGGATGTTTAGTGATTCTGGTGTACGAGAGGGTGTTCAAACCGCATCTGCACAAGTGTGCTCGCAATTAGGGGGGATGGAGGAAGCAAGGGAGAAGGTGAAAACAAGTGTGGAATGTGAAGGAGGGAATGAGGAGTAGGATTGAAAAATGGAGAGGGGAGGTGTAGTGATTCTGGGGTATGGGAGGGTGCTCGGAACCACTTCGCCTCGTTAAAGCCTCATCCACGCAAGGAGGGGAAGGAAGAGAAGGATAAGGTGAGAGAAAGGGGGGAAAGGGGAAGTGTGTAAGGGAGAGGAGACGAAGGGGGGGTGTCTGTGCACTTTCAGAGATACCCTTCCTGTCATTTTTTGCAATTCGCGTTTCTTAACCCTCCCTGTAGATAATGTTTTTATGCTGTTTTTTTTTCACGTCTCGTTTTCCTTCTCATCTGCTTTTTCCCCTTTATTCCCAATTGTCTTGTGTATTTTGCACGCATCTATCACGCATGCTACACATAATTGAGAAGTATCTGGGAAACTTCTTGGTTGGAAACTCAGTCACCCTCACAAACTTGACCCACCTTCCTGCCCCCTCCTTTCCACTCCTTCCCACCTGCTTTTCTTCTTCCCTCCTCATGCATGCAGCTCACTCATGGGTTGGACATATACGAGAAGCATCTGGAAGGGAGGGACTACCTGGTTGGAAACTCTGTCACCCCCACAGCCTTGACCCACCTTCTCGCCCCCTTCCCTTCCACTCCTTACCACCTGCTGTTCTTTTTACCTCTTCATGCATACAGCTATCAAATGTGTTGGACATATACGAGAAGCATCTGGAAGGGAGGGACTACTTGGTCGGAAACTCTTTCACACTCGCGGATTTGACCCACCTGCCCTTCACCGAGCTTTTGCCGGCCGCAGGGGGATTTGATTTGATTGAGAGCCGCCCGAACGTGAGCAGATGGTGGGCGCGGATATCGGGGAGGGATGCATGGAAGAGAACTCAGCAGCTGGAGCCGTATGAATTTTAAGTACTTAGGTTTATTGCGCAGCTCCACCTGATCGTGTTCCTGAACTGGTAAATCCTTTAGTGAACAGGGTGTTTGTAACTGCTACTTATACCGTATTCTCCCGGACATAACACACTAGGGTATAGCTAAAAATACAGGGAAAAAATGGGGGGGGTCTCCTCATAGGAAAAAAATACATAATACCCGGGTCTTTACATATGGCATATTTTAGTGTTAGTGTTTTTTTAATTAGTCAATGTGGGTGTTTTGCTGGTCGTTTTAGCATCACTGCCTGAGGCGCGAATGTGAGTTTCGGCCAGGGCCCTCGCTATCAGACATTTTTGTCTGTTTTTCTGAGAAATCAGACAGATTTTTTTTCACTCATCTGATTTTCAAGAAATGGGTGCATTATGCCGTCTGATCTGATGGGTCAGAAATGGTTTTTAGTTTCCATCTGTTCTATCAGACACGTGATTGAGAAAGCTTGCTTTCTTATTCTTATCAATTGGCATCGTTCTCATTACAAATGGCTTATTACAACATTTGCATCAACGTTGAGCACAAGCTGGTGCAATCGAATAACACTAGCTAAGATGTACCCTATCCAAGTGGCATTAGCAAGGCGGTTTACTCTGGGGTGGGTGGTGGGAGTGTTGAGTGAGCTGTTTGAAAATCGAGAAACGTGGGTGGAGGGAAATGAACTCCAACCCACGGTTTTTGTAGTTGGAGAAGGGCGTTTAGCGCGCTTCGACGATGCCAATTGTGCAGTACAAGCAGCTTCGCTTTCACAATACACAATTTTAAAAAACACAATGTGTGTTTAAAATTTATAATATTGAGAAAGCTTGCTTTCTTATTCTTATCAATTGGCATCGTTCTCATTACAAATGGGGTCTCTGAGACATGGGCAGCGGGGGCCTCCGGTTGCGTACGAGTGCCTCTAAGTGTTGTGCCGACGACGCTGCATGCGTCAGGTCTTGTAGGTTACGGGAGGCTTCGATAAGAGGCTCAACGTATGGTGTAACATACATTTCCTTTGCTGAGTCGCTTCGCCATCTGCCCAGCCGTTTGAAGACCCTGTCTGGCACGCCCGTGTTGGCTGCTACTGTGGCTGCACCTTTTCGGAAAGAATGTGTGCCGAGCTGCAGGTCTCCAAGGCCCACTTTTGCGAAGGCTTCCTTGCACTAGTTCCGGATCGTGGTGTATGAGGGTGGCCTTGCTTGGCCCTCGCTGGTTGAAGCGTGGCCGAAGACCCGAATCAATGGTCCCTCTGACTGTGGGCCATAGCCGGCCAGTTGGATGAAGCGTCGGGTGCAGCGAACTGGGCAACAAGGGTCTGTCGTTGCTGCAATGGGAATCCAAGTGCCATGACCAGCCTGATCGGTCTTGGAGTGTGGTATGAGAATCCACATGACCTCGTCGTCGAATTGGATGTCTTGCCATTTTATGGCTGCCAGGTCCGAATATCGCAGGAATCCTGAGTACATGAGGATGGGGATCAACCCTTTCTGAAACGTCGCTGGATCGTCGGACTGCAAGTAACTCGCGGCCATGTCCCGGACTTGTTGGATCGATGCGGGTTCCTTCATACGAGTAGGGCGAGGGCAGTGTCGTTTTGCACAGTCACGGACTTGGGTGGTGAACGGTCCGGTTGTCGGGCATTTGCTCCCAGTCATGCGATGAGCGAAGCTGACCGCCGAGCACGTCAGCTGCACTACGGACAGGGTGGCTTTGCGTCGGATTGCGTGTACTAGGTAGAGCGCGAGGGTCATGTCGGATGCCGGAAGAAATGGGAGGTTCACTTTTGTGCAGAAGGCTCGAAACTTGGCCCAGTATGGTTCGTATGTCCGGATCGTAGAATCGGCGCGAGATTGCGCGAGCATGTTGATCATTTGGTCGTGTAACTTTGGGAGCAAATCTGAACACAGGGCGTTGATGTTTTGAATTAGTCAAATGCCATTCTCAGTGCAATAATTGGGCTGTGCGGTAGTCCCATGCCTGAGAAAGCATTGGAATGGGACCCTGCGTCTAGGCATTGGCTTCCGTGTGTCAGAGGGATGTGCGCGTGGATGTGTGGAGCCCAAGTGCATGGGGAGGGTTGCAAAAGTGGCCACCAGCTTGCGCCTGGCCAGTGCGGAACTATCAGTGTGAGTGATGCATGGGTGCGTTGTGCGTGATGGAGGACGGCTGGGACTAGTTGGGGCGGGGGGAAGGCGAAGTTGTTTTCGGGTGTCCACGCGATCGAGAACGCATCAACTGCGATAGCTTCTGGGTGGGGAATCTTTGTGCAGAAGCGCGGCAGTTGGGTGTTGCGGGAGTTTGCGAAGAGGTCGATGGAGTGGGGCCCCCAACGACGTTCCAAGATGCGGAACCACGGCGTTTTCAGCGCGTAATCGTCGTGGTCGACCATTTTTGAAAGTTCGTCGGCGTGTGTATTGAGCTCGCGCGGAATCCATTCGATGATCAAGCGCGTGCCAAGCTCCATGCATGTTCGGATGATGCTCTTGCATGCCGTTGCGAGGTCGGGGCTGTGAGAGCCGCCTTTTCGAAGGATGAAGAACACGCCCTGGTTGTCCACCCGCACGAGAACGTGTTTTTGCTTGATGTTGGTCGCGTATGTTTGGAGCGCCCAAAGGACGCCTTCGATCTCGCGTCGCGTGCTGGACGTTCCTTGTAGCGGCTCTGACATGGTTGCGCAAGCTTCTTCGAGGCCGCCCAGAAATGTGGTCAGAGTGGCGCCCCAACCATGAGAGCTGGCATCCACATGGATTACTGCGTCGTAGCTGTTCCTGACGTGAAAAGGTGCGCCGTTGAAACGGTCAAATTCCTCGAGCCAAAATTGGAGCTCCTCTGCTGCAGATGGGGGGATAACCACGCTGCTTTTCCATGACGGTGCTTCGTTGATCACTTGTAACATAGCGTGGCTGAATGCGCGAGCGGTCGCGCCAAGTGCGACACCCATCGATGCAAGCATGCCAGTGATTCTGGCCACGTGGCGGACCGGGACTGGTCGGCATGCCCTGCTTGCGCTCAGGAGGTTCCGGATGGTTGCATGTAGTGAGGCTCGTCGGTCGGGACCGATGGAGAATCGGCCGGTGTCGGTCTCCAGTTCTACGCCCAGGAATCGGAGATGTTGCGATGGTGACAGTTGTGATTTCTTCGCGTTTATCACAAGGCCTGCCTCTTTGAGGTCCAATATCACCTGCTGGCAGATTGCTTGCGCATCGGCTTTCGACTGGCAGAGGAATAAGATGTCATCCACGTAAGGTACGACTCGGATGCCTTGTTCTCGCCAACGCCGAGCTAGTTGCTTGATGAGCTGTGTAAAGACGAATGGAGCCGTCGCGAGGCCGAATGGTAGTGAACGAAATGCGTATGTCCGCCTATCGAATTCGAAGCCAAGGAACTTCCAGCACGATGGGTGGATGTCGATGTGATGGTAACCGGATTTGAGGTCAATGGAGAACATCCAGTCCCCAACGCGCGCCAGGTCGGCGACACGGCTGAGCCCCTCGTACTTGAACTTGGGGACAATCAAGTTAGCGTTGACCTTTCTCAGATCAAGAATGAGCCTGCATTTGTCTTTTTGCTCGACCACGTTAAGTGGACTTATGCACTTGAGCTCCGTTGCGGCCATCGGAACTGCCGCTCCCGTCTCTATGAGTTCTTGGATGGCGGTACGTGTGAACGTAGCATGCGTGTTTGCCCCGACATGATTGCGATCGTGGAAAGGTTGTGGTGGGCCGTGGCTCCATGGCAA